ATCGAGTCGATCTATAGACCACAAATGAAAGCCGAACATCACAACACAACCCACGGTGAAGGGAATCTGGACAATAGCTGTACTGAATACTCGTAATATTCGGAAAATATGTCAGTTTGGCAAGAGGGTGCAAATATCACGAATTATTGCCCAGGCTCGGAATATACATCCGCAGAAATTTTGAGTTCCGTGGTAGTTGTGTAGGGTATCGTATGGTCGGCCCCGTCCGACTACACTGCTCCGCTCACTGGTTTTATCTTACCCTGTATTGCATTGTTAATTTTGAAACCACTGTCCCACAATCACACTCATTTCACACCATCTTTGCCATTAAGTTAGAAAAAAAACAAAAATCTCAAATCAATCATATACAACAAAACTAAAATCTAAATATTTTTCAAAAGCAATATCTTATTATGGAAACAAATAAAAATAATTAAAATTAAATTAAATAATGCACAATATTTATAGATGAAACTAAATTTAAATTCTTAGCACTAATTTAATATAACAAAATACATTTTACTATTACTAACTAACAATTGGAACAAAGTAAATTAAATAATAAAAATAAATGATATATAAGTTTAATGCTTAAGAAGCCCATCGAAAAAGAAATCTAAAATATATTTAGTTAAGCTTTCAAAATGATAATATTCTAGTTAAAATATTAGGCTAATGTTATAAAAACAAACACACACACTCACATACACAAAATAAATAACAACAACAATTATACAAACATAAAATAAAATCGTTAGGCAAAAAACCAAAAAAAAAATAAAAAATATTAAGATGGCTTGTATTGAGACTGATTTTATAATAAAAACAACAATTAAAAAAAAAATAAAACTATAATATAACCCTTGTAAAAAATAAACCTGTAATGTTTTGAAATTTTAAGGATATGAGAAATAAAATAAAGCACTCTCTCACACACACACACACATTAATCAAAATGGTTATGAATTGTAAGGAAATCTTGAAAACAAAAAAAAAATAGTATAAATAATGTGGAACACAAAAGCAAAGCCATAGAAATACCAAAGATGAATGAAAATGTAACACTATAAGAACATAAAAATATATATTTATTTAAAATAAAAAAAACTTACATAAATGTTGTATTTTGCACAACAGCAACAACAAATCTGCAGAGAAACCAATTCTTTATTTTTAGTTTAAATATAAGAGGGCAACAAAAAGAAATATAAACAAATTAGTTCATGAAATTAATTAATATTTAAGATAAAACGAAACAAAAAAACTTGGATTCCAAAAAAACACGAATCTCTCACACACACTGTCACATGTCACTTTTTATCATCCAGTCATTCGTTTGCAGCTAATGCAATTTGTTTTTTTTATTTATTTTTCGAATCGAAGAGTATGAAATGGCTATTGGCAGGCAAATTCGCTCTTATATTTGTTTTTTTTTCTTGACTTCTTTCTCTGTGTATATATTTTGTAGTATAGAATAGAAGCATATTACGAATGTATCAACTATTTCTTATGATCAAATTTTATTTTTCTATTTCTGTAAAAGCTTTTGTAACTATCAAAATCCATATACAAAAGAATGTGAATGAATTAACAGAAAAAAAAAACCAACAAAACAACTATAAATTTGAAATTAAATAAAAGATAACTTTTAAAAAACTAAAACACGGCGATTTTTAATTTTACATATAATTCTTGCTAGGCAATACTTTTTTGGACTTTTCAAAGAATATTTTGTTAGGGACCAAAACAAGGCGGGGATTTTTAAATGACCGATACAGGCATGAATTAAAGAATATTTTTTCAAGGGTCACCACAGGCGTGGATCTTTCAAAGAATATATTTTCAAGGATCACCGTAGGACTGGATTTTTTAAAGAACATTTTTTCAAGGATCACCAAGGCGTGGATCTTTAAAAGAATATTTCTTCGAGGATCACCGTAGGCCTGGATTTTATAAAGAATGTTTTTTCAAGGATCACCGTAGGTGTGGATATTTTAAAGAATATTTTATCAAAGATCACCACAGGCGTGAATTTTTTAAAGAATATATTTTCAAGGATCACCATAAGCGTGGACATTTAAAAGAATATTTTTTCTGGGATCACCGTAGGCGTGGACATTTAAGGGAACCCCACCCATTCTTGATTTAAATATATTTGAAGATTTAAAAGAGAAGAAAAATAATTTACAAAAAATTTTTGTTATTGTTTTATTGGTGTTTTTTGTAGTTAAAGAAAAGTCCTTATTTTTGATGGCGGGCATGATAACTCCTTACTGGAACATCGGAATCCGAAAATTCCAACGGTGTTAGAAATAGTACATGTCTGGCTCTCGTATGAACTAGGATTATTAAAATTAACAAAATGGCGGACCTTTGAAAAAATATTTTTGGAAAATCGCCAATTTTTTACAAAAAAAAAAACAAGTTAAAAATAAGGAAGATCTTCACCGATTGGCTTTATCCTAGTTCATACGATAGCTATACACTCACAGAGAAACGTGTAAAAATTTGGAATCGATTGGGTTATCAGTTTTTGAGTTATCGTGTCCGCCATTCGCAAAAGAGAAAAACGCGTTTAAAGTTTGAGAAGCCCTTTAGCCGTCACTTGATGCCGACACAATAAATCGGCAATATTTTCAAGAGTTCTTGAGATTTTCTCTTGAAATTTTGTAGGGACATTCTTGAATTAGTGTAGATTCGAATTAAATCAAAAAAAATTTTGACCCCGAGAATAGGGGGGTCCCCTTAAAAGAATATTTTTTTTATGATCACCGTGGGATCGCGTGGACTTAAAAAAAGACATGAGTGGATTTTTTTAAGGAATATTTTGTCATGGCGTGGATATTTTAAAGAATATTTTTGTCAGGCGTGGATTTTTGACGGAATATTTTTGTCAGGCTTGGATTTTTTAGAGAATATTTTTGTCAGGCGTGGATTTTTATGAGAATATTTTTGTCAGGCTTGGATTGTTTAAAGAATTTGAAATATTGGTCCTAGACCCACCTTTAAGTATACCGATACCGTCATATCTCGACTAGCTGAATCGATATAGACATGTGTGTCCGGACAGACGGTCCATTATAATTTGTAAACACGATACAGGCCACAGTTATGGACCAATCTGCACGAAATTTTGCATGTAGGATGGGTTCGGCCCAATGATAAAAATCGGTCAATATTTAGCGGGTCAAATAGACCCTGACTTTTGTCATTTGAAAAATGACAAAATTTGTATTCTATGACGTATATGTTTACTCCTAAAGGAAATTTTTGTCAGGCGTGGATTTTTTAAAGCATTTTTTGGTCAGGCGTGGATTTTTTAAAGCATTTTTTGGTCAGGCGTGGATTTTATAAATATTTTTTTTCAGCCGTGGATTTTTTAAATATTTTTTTTTCAGGCGTGGATTTTTTAAAGACTTTTTTCAGGCGTGGATTTTTTAAAGAATTTTTTTGTCAGGCGTGGATTTTTTAAAGAATTTTTTTGTCAGGCGTGGATTTTTTAAAGATAATTTTTGTCAGGTGTGGAATTTTTAAAGAAAATTTTTGTCAGGCGTGGATTTTTTAAAAAAAATTTTTGTCAGGCGTGGATTTTTTAAAGAAAATTTTTGTCAGGCGTGGATTTTTTAAAGAAAATTTTTGTCAGGCGTGGATTTTTTAAAGAAAATTTTTATCAGGCGTGGATTTTTTAAAGAAAATTTTTGTCAGGCGTGGATTTTTTAAAGAAAATTTTTATCAGGCACGGATTTTTTAAAGAAAATTTTTGTCAGGCGTGGATTTTTTAAAGAAAATTTTTATCAGGCGTGGATTTTTTAAAGAAAATTTTTGTCAGCTGTAGATGTTTAATTGTAAACAAAGTACAAGTCGCATTTATAATCCGATTTGGATGAAATTCATTCATCATTTGTTTGGCCCAAGGACGTACCCTATTGAAATTGGGAAAAATCGGTTCAGATTTAGATATAGCTCCCATATATATTTTCGTCCGATTGAATGTAAATGTTGCACCAAAGTCCCTATATATCTTTCGATTTGCACGAAATTTTTTTTACAGCGTAATGAATTAGGTCTAGAATGATGTGTGTTAAGTTTTCTGAAAATCGGTCCAGATTTTGATATAGCTCCCATATATATTTTCGTCCGATTTAATGTAAATGGTGCACCAAAGACCCTATATATCTTTCGATTGGCACGAAACGTACTGAATTGAGTCTAGAATGATGTCAGCCAAGTTTCCTGAAAATCGGTCCAGATTTAAATATAGCTCCCATAAATAGTTTCGTCCGATTTTAGTTAAATGGTACACCAAAGACCCAACGTTATGTCGATTGACACAAAATTTTGCACAACGTACTAAAGTTAATATAACTTAGCATGCGGAAAGTTTTGTTGAAGTCGCTACAAATTTGGATAGAGCTACCATATATATTTTCTCCCGATTTTAAGTAAATTACGCACCAAGAAATCAAAATGTGGCCGATATGCATACAACATACTGAAATTAGTATAACCTAACCATCTGTTGAATAAACACAAAGTGGTGAAGGGTATCATATAGTCGGCACTGTCCGACTTTACCAACACAAGCCATGCGAATATTTTTCATGGAATATGTTTTTAAAGAATATTTTTTATAAAGAAGACCACACAGCATAGTTATTTCATTAAAGAATATTTTTGAGGGCCAAATAGAATGTGTCAGTCACCTGGCAGATCTACCCTCGTAACACGATAGCCATATACTCGTATATCAGTTATAACAGTGTCCAACACGAACAAACATTATTGATAATGAATTTCACCACAATCTACATACGCCGATCTTCGAACAAATATTATTTGAAATTAATGAAAAAGTTTTCGGTCAAGTTTACGATTAACTTTACATTCAATCGCGTTCAATACAGAGAGTCAGTCGTTATTTTATTATCGCATCGAAAACAACATACCCTCTCAAGTAGAAAAAAACAAACAAACAAAGAAAAGCATCGATAAAAAATATGTTATCGACAATATTAGCCGGTATTTGCCTTCTACTGCTTGTCGTATACTTATTTTTGATTTGGCCCTATGATTATTGGCAGAAACGCGGAGTGAATGGGCCGAAATCCTTACCATTTGTTGGAAATTATTTGAGTACTTTAACCCAGAAGCGGAATATTGTCCTTGATATTCAGGATGTCTATGAGTGAATATTCATGAAGATAATATTTAAAATTGCATTTGTATTATTCTTTGGAATGTTGTTTCTTTTTTTCAGTAAACATAAACATACCGATAATTTTGTGGGAATTTTTTCCGCACGGACGCCACAATTACTAATTACCAATGCCAATATGGTCAGGCGAATTCTGGTCTCAGACTTTAAAAAGTTTCACGATAATTATTTTACAACAATGGTGAGTATTTGCAGATCTTTTTTTAAGGTCCAACACTATGTCGAAGAATTTTAAAGAATGCCAAGGGTCAGCACATACGAGCCCCAGGTTCAAGCATCTCGATATACAAGGCCACCTGGATTTCTCCTGATCAAACAACGAGAAATCAAATTGATCATGTCGTAATAGACGGAAGGCATTCATCCAGTGTATTAGACGTTCGATCGATCCGTGGAGCGAATATCGATTCGGACCACTACCTTGTAGCAGCTAAGGTTCGCACTCGTCTTAATGTAGCTGCAAAGGTGCGATCACACAACACAACACGGAAACTCGACGTCGAAAAGCTGAAAACACAACAGATATCAGAAGCCTACTCCGCTCAACTTATCCATCTGCTGGACGAAAGCACTTCTTGTCCCGATAATAGTATAGAAGCACAATGGCAAAGAATTGCCCACTCCCTACAAACTGCAGCAAAAGCAACACTTGGGTACCAAAAACCACCACCAAGAAACCCATGGTACGATCAGGAGTGTCGTAATGCTACTGATGTGAAAAACGGTATAAGGCATAGAGAAACCCTGCAGACATTAGCAACACGTAGTGCGATGGAGAATTATCGGGAGAAAAGGAGAGAGGAGAATCGAGATGTACGGGAGTCAGAATGAAGTCCGGAAATTTTACCAACGAGTAAAACGCCAAACCGAAGACTTTGGTGCAGGCACATCCTCCTGTAGAGATGAAAAAGGAAACCTGGTGACAGATACAGACAGCGTGTTGAGGATCTGGAAGGAGCATTTTGAAAAGCTTCTGGTATCAAATAGTGGTGTTGAAGAAGATACCCCAGAACCAATAAGAGATGATGGTATAAAGTGTATACCACCTAGCCAAGATGAGGTCATAAAAGCAATTAATCGATGGGTTAGGCTAGATGAATGCATGCCCAATGATTGGAACCTCAGCATCCTGTGTCTCGTGCACAAAAAAGGAGACAAGACGATATGTGCCAACTATAGAGGAATAAGTCTCTTTCCCATTGCATATAAAGTGCTATCCAGTGTGCTGTGTGAACGATTGAAGCCAATGATCAATGACATCATCGGACCATACCAATGAGGCTTCAGACCTGGCAAATCCACCATTGACCAGATTTTCACTCTGCGCCAAATCCTGGAAAAGACCCACGAAAAACACATCAACACATTCCACCTATTCGTCGAGGTGTATAAAGCCATATCTTCGTTCGGAATTCCTGCAAAATTAATACGGCTATGCAGGATAACTTTAAGTGGTACAAGGTCAGCAGTTAAAGTTGGAAAGGACCTATCGAAGCCCTTCAATACCGAACGTGATCTTTTTAACATCCTGCTGGAAAAGGTCATAAGAGACGCAAAGGTGAACAGAAATGACACTCTGTACACCAAACAAAATATGTTACTCGCCTACGCCGATGAAATCGATATAATGGGTCGAACATTGGGAGCGGTAACATCCACCTTTGAACAAATTGAGAAGGAGTCTACCAAAGTGGGTCCGGCAGTAAATGGCGAGAAGACCAAGCTGATGGTATCAAGGCGCAAGACTTCCAGTAGTCTCGGACCAACTGTGAAACATGAGAACTACACCTTCGTGGTAGTTAAAGATTTTATATACCTTGGTACCGCCATAAATAAAACTAATGACATCAAGCAGATGAGGCAGCTCTTTTTATACCCTCTACCATAGTTTGGAGGGTATATTAGTTTTGTTTTTCCGTTTGTAAAGCATCGAAATAATCATTTCCGACCCTATAAAGTATATATATTCTATGACGATCTAAGCATGTCCGTCTGTCCGTCTGTTGTAATCACTCTAGCGTCTAAACGATTTGACATAGATCGCCAAAAAATTGCATAGAGTCGTCTTTTGTCTGCAGGCAGGTCAAGTTTGAAGATGAGATATATCGGCCCACGTTTAGGCATAGCTCCCATATAAGGGTACCCCCCAATTTTCGGTATTTTGAGGTTCTTGATCTCTTATTTCAACCGAATTCGCTGAAATTTCCACCAAAAATTATAAATATAGATTCCTTTTTTCGGATAGCCCCAATTTAAGGTTACCCCCCAATTTTCGGTATTTTGGGGACCTTGAGCGCGTTTTTAACCGAATTCGCTGAAATTTAGTACATTGGGTTCTTATTTAGTGTCAAATATCTACTCAGACATTGGTCCACTTTTTCTGATAGCCCCCATATAAGGGTATCCCCAAATTTTCGGTATTTTGAAGTTCTTGAGTGCGTTTTTTAACCGAATTCGCTGAAATTTGGTACTGTGAGCTCTTATTGGATAACAAATCTCCCCGCAAAAAAATTATAAATAAAGGTCCACTTTTTCGGATAGCCCCCATATAAGGGTTCCCCCCAATTTTCGGTATTTTGGAGTTCTTGAATGCGTTTTTCAACCGAATTCGCTGAAATTTGGTACATTGTGTTCTTATTTGGTGCCAAATATCTTAATTAAAAATTATAAACATCTTTCCACTTTTTCGGATAACCCCCATATAAGGGTACCCCCAATTTTCGGTATTTTGGGGTTCTTGAGCTCGTTTTTCAACCGAATTTGCTGTAATTTTGTATTTTGAAGTATATGGTAAAAAAACTCCCTACCAAAAATTATTAATATTCACCCCATTTTAGGGGTAGTCCCCATATAACCCCCCTTTTATACCCTTCACCACACTGTGGTACAGGGTATAATGTTTTTGTGCATATGTTTGTAACAGGCAAAAATAATCGAGATAGACCCATGGTTACTTTTGAGAATATGCATAGAATCACTTTCTGAGTCGATTTATGCATGTCCGTCCGTCTGTAGATGTTAAATTGTAAACAAAGTACAGGTCGCATTTATGATCCGAATTGGATGAAATTTGGCACAGCTCATTTGTTTGGCCCAAGGACGAACCCTATTGAAATTGGGAAAAATCGGTTCAGATTTAGATATAGCTCCCATATATATTTTCGTCCGATTTAATGTAAACGGTCCCTATATATCTTTCGATTTGCACGAAATTTGGCACAACGTAATGAATTAGGTCTAGAATGATGTGTGTAAAATTTCATAAAAATCGGTTCAGATTTAGATATAGCTCCCATATATTCGTCCGATTTATGGTAAATTGTGTACCAATGTGCCTACATATCTTTCGATTTGCACGAAATTTGGCATAGCATAATGAATTATGTCTAGAATGATGTCTGTTAAGTTTCCTGGAATTCGGTCCAGATTTAGATATAGCTCCCATATATATTTTCGTCCGATTTAAGGTAATTGGTGCGCCAAAGTTCCTAAATATCTTTCGATCTGCACGAAATTTGGCACAGCGTACTGAATTAAGTCTAGAACGATGTGTGTAAAATTTCTTCAAAATCGGTTCAGATTTAGATATAGCTCCTATATGTAGTTTCGCCCGATTTTAGGTAAATAGTCCAGTTAAGTCCCTATATATCTTCCGATTTGCAGGAAATTTGGCACAGCATAATGAATAAGGTCTAGAATGAAGTGTGCTAAGTTTCGTGAAAAATGGTTCAAATTTAGATATAGGTCTCATATATATTTTCGTCCGGATTTATGTAATTGGTGCACCAAAGTTCCTATATATCTTTCGATTTGCACGAATTTTGGTATAGGGTACTGAATTAAGTCTAGAATGATGTTGCTAAGCTTCGTGAAAAAATCCATAGCTAGGCCGATTGACACAACGCACTGATGTAATATAAATTAGTCTCTGGCAAGATTCCCTGAAATCGGTTTAGATGTATTCTACATATGTTAGGATACATATATAGAATATTCCCAAAGTGGTGAAGGGTATCATATAGTCGGCCCAGGCCGACTTTACTACTTTCCTTACTGGTTTAAGCTCGGCTTATGGAACATCCGTTTTGTATCAAGCCAGCTAAGCAATTTTTAATATTTTTTTACGGCTTATCATAGGGTTGGATTTTTAACGGAATGTTTTCAAGACGTGGTTTTTTAAAACAATATTTTTGAAGGTCCTTTGCAGTCGTGAACTGTTAAATATATCTTTCAAGGTCCCTAAGATGCGTGGATTTTAAAAACAATATTTTTTCAAGTTCCAAACTTAAAAAAAAAATATTTTTCCTTTTTAGATTGACAAGAAATCGGATTTCATATTTGGAAATAATCCCTTTATGTTAACTGGCGATGAGTGGAAGGAAAGGAGAGCTGAAGTAACTCCAGGTCTTACAATGAACAGAGTAAGAAAGTCTGAAAATTGTCTCTTCAATGAAGAAGTTTTTTCTACAAAAAACATCCATTCCTGATTACCTTTTTTTACAAAATGTTCTAGATAAAAAATGTTTTCCCGGTCACCGAAAAGATATGCAAATCCATGGTAGAATATATTGCCCAACAATCGTTAATGGCTAGCAAGGATGGCATTAATGCAAATGAGGTAAGTTGAACGGAATTAGTTCAAGCCCTAACTGTACACTCCACATTTTTAGCTCAGCTTACGTTTCACCTGTGAAGTTGTCACCGATTGTGTTTTGGGTGTAAAGGCCGAAGCCTTTAGCAAAAAATCCAGTCTTATTTTGGAGAAGACCAAAAACATCTTCGAGCAAACCCCTACCTTTATAATTTATTCCATTTTGCATGGACTCTTCCCATGGATTCAGAAATACAAGAAAGTTAATTTTGTTCCCAAGCCAATCGAAATATTTTTTGTCGATCTAATGCAAAATGTCTTGAGTATGAGAAAAGCTCAAATCGAAGAGGGCATTAATGTGGATCGTGTCGATTTTCTAAATTACATGCTGCATTTGCAAGAGAAAAAAAATTTGGATCTCAAGGAGTTGACCGCGCATACAATGACATTTTTACTGGATGGGTTTTTGACAACTGCTAACGTACTGTCACATTGTTTATTACTGGTAGGTTAAACTAAAATTTTAGTAAGGAAAAATTTTAATGAAAATCACATTTTCCAGCTGGGCCGTGATTCAAAACGTCAACAAATTTTGCGTGAGGAAATCACAGAAAATTTGAAAAATATCAATGATTTTGAGAAAATTATGGATTTGCCATTTCTCGATGCCTGTATTCATGGTAATACTGTGGATGGAAAATATTGTTTTATGATACTACAAATTTTTACTTTTTTATTTTAGAAACTCTTCGTTTATTCCCACCCGTCAGCTTCAATTTTAAAATGTGTACCGAACCCGCTGAATTGGAAAACTCAAATGGCCATAAATTACATGTCGAACCGGGAACCGCTATTGTTATACCCACCCTAGCCATTATGACGGATGAAACTCATTATGAAAATCCACTATCCTTTGTTCCAGAACGTTTCCTCAACGGTGGTCTCAAACGCTACAAAGAACAAGGTCTATTTCTGGGATTTGGTGATGGACCACGTATTTGCTTGGGTAAGAAATGGGGATAATGCACAATAAATGTTGACTACATTTTTTAAAATTTATTTTTAGGAATGCGCTTTGCTTTAGCACAACTCAAAACAGCCCTAGTTGAAATCATTAGAAATTATTATGTTCACATTAATCCAAAGACCCGCCAGGACAACAAGTTTGATCCAACATATTTTATGTTGCGACTTGATGGTGGCATTTGGTTGGATTTTGAAAAACTGATAAAATGATAATATCTATATGTATGAGATTGTGTACTATAAGAATACTTATTAAAGCAAAATTAAGTTCCAACTTAATTGTTATTCAAGGGTGGATTTCTAAAAGAATATTTGTTTAGGGTCCACTACAGGAGTGGACTTTTAAAAGAATATTTTTTCAGGCGCCAAAAAAGGCGTGGATTTTTAAAAGAATATTCAAAAGAATATTTTCAGGCAGCAATACAGGCGTGGATTTAAAAAAAAAATATATTTTTCTGACACGGAAAAAGCGCGGATTTTTAAAAGAATATTTTTTTAGGCACCAAAAAAGGCGTAGACTTTTACAAGAATATTTTTTCAAGCACCAAAAAAGGTGTGGATTTTTAAAAGGATATTTTTGAAGGGAACAATAGGAGCGTGGATTTTCAAAAGAATATTTTTGAAGGGAACAATAGGAGCGTGAATTTTCAAAAGAATATTTTTGAAGGGAACAATACAGGCGTGGGATCAATAAAGACGTGGATATCCAGGCACCAAAAAGGAGCGGATTTTTAAAAGAATATTTTTCCAGGTACCGAAAACCAATGCAGGCGTGGATTTTTAAAAGAATACTTCTAAGGGACCAATAGAGACGTGGATATACAGGCACTAACAAGGAGCGGATTTTTAAAAGAATATTTTTCCAGGCACCGAAAACCAATACAGGCGTGGATTTTTAAAAGAATATTTTTTCAGGCGTGGATTTTTAAAAGAATATATTTTCAGGCGTGGATTTTCAAAAGAATATTTTTAGGCGTGGATTTTTAAAAGAATATTTTTTAGGCGTAGATTTTTAAAAGAATATTTTTTAGGCGTGGATTTTTAAAAGAATATTTTTTTTCCAGGAGCCCTATAGGCGAGGATTTTCAAAAGAATATTTTTTAGGCGTGGACTTTTAAAAGAATATTTTCTTAGGCGTGGATTTTTAAAAGAATATTTTTTAGGCGTGGATTTTTAAAAGAATATTTTTTAGGCGTGGATTTTTAAAAGAATATTTTTTAGGCGTGGATTTTTAAAAGAATATTTTTTAGGCGTGGATTATTAAAAGAATATTTTTTAGGCGTGGACTTTTAAAAGAATATTTTCTTAGGCGTGGATTTTTAAAAGAATATTTTTTAGGCGTGGATTTTTAAAAGAATATTTTTTCAGGCCCAAAACAGGCGTGGATTTTTAAAAGAATATTTTTTCAGGCCCAAAACAGGCGTGGATTTTTAAAAGAATATTTTTACAGGCACCAAAAAAATGCGTAGATTTTTAAAAGAATATTTTTCAGGCACCGAAAAAGGCGTGGATTTTTAATAGAAGATTTTTTCAGCAACAAAAAAGGCGTAGACTTTTACAAGAACATTTTTTCAAGCACCAAAAAAGGCGTGGATTTTTAAAAGACTATTTTTGAAGGGAACAATAGGAGTGTGGATTTTCAAAAGACTATTTTTGAAGGGAACAATAGGAGTGTGGATTTTCAAAAGAATATTTTGAAGGGATTAATAGGAGCGTGGATTTTTAAAAGAATATTTTTCTAAAAGAATATTTCTAAGGGACCAATGATATCCAGGCACCAAAAACGAGCGGATTTTTGAAAATATATTTTTCCAGGCGCCAAAAAGCAATACAGGCGTGGATTTTTAAAAGAATATATTTTCAGGCCCAAAACAGGCGAGTATTTTTAAAGACAAACATATTTTCTCAGGCCCAATAAAGCCTTGGATTTTTAAAGAAATATTTTTTAAGGTCCGAAGAAGTTTAGATTTTTTAAAGAATTTTTTTTTATGGTCCCGAAGAAGTTTGGATTTTTTAAAGAATTTTTTTATGGTCCCGAAGAAGTTTGGATTTTTTAAAGAATTTTTTTATGGTCCCGAAGAAGTTTGGATTTTTTAAAGAATTTTTTTATGGTCCCGAAGAAGTTTGGATTTTTTAAAGAATATTCACCACACCGTAACAGGCAAAAGGAATCGAGATAGACACATGTCTAGTCTAGAACGATATGTGTTAAATTTAGTGAAAATCGGTTTAGATTTAGATATACCTCCCATACCTCCCGAAGAAGTTTGGATTTTTTTATGGTCCCGAAGAAGTTTGGATTTTTTAAAGAATTTGTTTATGGTCCCGAAGAAGTTTGGATTTTTTAAAGAATATTCACCACACCGTAACAGGCAAAAGGAATCGAGATAGACACATGGTTCCTTTTGAGAATATGCATAGAATCACTTTCTGAGTCGATTTATGCATGTCCGTCCGTCTGTTGATGTTAAATTGTAAACAAAGTAAAAGGTCGCATTTATGATCCGATTTGACACAAGTCACTTATTTGACCCTATTAAAATTCAAGAAAATAGGTTCAGATTTAGATATAGCTCCCATATATACTTTCGTCCGACTTAAGGTAAATGGAGCACCAAAAACCCTAAATATCGTTTGATTTGCACGAAATTTGGCACAGCATACTAATTTAAGCCTAGAATGATATGTGCTAAGTTTCGTGAAAATCGGTTCAGATTTAGATATAGCTCCCACATATATTTTCGTCCGATTTAAGGTAAATGGGGCACAAATGTCCATATATATCCTTCGATTTGGACGAAATTTGGCATAGCGTTCTGATTTAAGCCTGGAAAGATGTGTGTAACATTTCGTGAAAATCGGTTCAGATTTAGATATAGCTCCCACATATATTTTCGTCCGATTTAAGGTAAATGGTGCACCAAAGTCTTTATATATCTTTCGATTTGGACGAAATTTGGTTTAGCGTACTAAATTGAGTCATGAATGATGAGTAGTAAGTTTCGGGAAAATCGGTTCAGATTTCGGTATAGCTCCCATATATACTTTCCTCCGATTTAATGTAAATGGTGCAGCAAAGTTCCTATATATCCTTCGATTTGCATGAAATTTGGAATAGCGTAGTGAATGGAGTCTAGAATGCTGTGTGGTACGTTTCGGGAAAATCGTTTCAGATTTCAATTGAGACTTGAATGACATTATTGCGAAATTGGTGCAATGTGTATTTCAAACGGGTGTCTGATTGAGTTTAAATTTTTAACGGTGCGACGTACCGAATAGCGTGTATCAAGGCATGAGTATGTTCCTTCGAGGGAACATTGACATGCAATTGTAAGGATACATATGTGGAATATACCCAAAGTGGTGATGGGTATCATGTAGTCGGTCCAGTCCGACTTTACTACATTCCTTACTGGTTTTCATTTACAAATTTAAAATATTTTTTTGTTTTCAGTGATCAATTTTTAATTTATTAAATTTTTTCATTTGTATCATTAAGTTTCTAGTAAATTAAAGTAATTTTTGTCGATATGTTACACAAGAATTTTTGTTAATTTTTAACAAATAACGAACTTAATTAATGCTATCAAACTCCAACCATATACCACCATCCAGGCGCATCAAAAAATATGTTGGATCCAATCTGTTGTCAGTGCGTGTTGTGGAATTCACGCGAATTTCAAAATTGCGAACAATCTCCACCAGGGCTCCCTTTATTTGTGTCAATGCAAAACGCATACCTGCAAAATAAATCGATACGGATTTAAATTACGGTTCAATAAATATAACCCCCTCAACTCACCTAAACATATACGTGGTCCATCACCGAATGCCAAGTACAACCCTTGATCCTTATATTTCTTTAAGCCACCATTTAGAAAACGTTCCGGTACAAAGTTGGCAGCATTTTCATAGTAATCTTCATCCAATAGCAGTGCTTGTATGGGCAGAACCACCGTCGTACCTTCGTTTATTTTTAATTTTTTTCCATTTTTATTTTCGAATTCAATCGATTCTGTGCAAAGTTTTGTTGAAAATGCACCGGGAGGGAATAGGCGAAGGGTTTCTATAAACAAGAGAATATTTTTTGTTATTTTTTTGAGATTTTTTTCAAATGCACCAAAGTCCCTATATAACTTTCGATTTGCACGAAATCTTAGCGTACTAAATTGATTCAGGAAAGATGATGGTAAGTTTCAAAATCTGTTCAGATTTCGGTATAGCTCCCGTATATACTTTCCTCCGATTTTATGTAAATAGTGCAGCAAAGTCCCTATATATCCTTCGATTGGCATGAAGGATATATAGGGTGTTTTTAAGAAGGACTATTAGCCTATAATTACCATGTATACATGCATCCAAATAAGGCAACTCCATAATTGTATCAAAATCATTATTTGGACCCAATTTCTCAAGGATTTCATTACGAAGAATTTGCTGACGATCGGCATCACGACCCAGCTAAAATGAATATTTAGGGACAAAAAATTAGACGTTCTTTTTAATATTCAATGACTTCTTCTTCACCCACCAATAGCAAACAATGGGACAAAACATTCGCAGTTGTCTCAAAACCATCCAACAGGAATGTCATTGTGTGCGCGGTCAATTCGGGTATTTGTAGATTTTTCTTTTCCTGCAGATAGAGCATGTAATTGATGAAATCCACACGATCCTCATTAACACCCTTTTCTTTTTGTTCTTTTCTCATGCTCAGCGAATTTTCCATTAAATCGACAAAGAACTCTTCAACGGGTTTTGGTATGAAACGTAATTTTTTGACCTTCTTAATCCAGGGTAACATACCGGCCAATAGGGTATAGGCAACAAAAACAAATGACTGATCAAACAGATTTTTGGTCATATGCAATATCGGACTGGGCTTATGGGCAAAGGCATCGGCCGAAAGTCCAAGAACACAATCGGTTACAACCTCACAGGTGTAACGTAGACTAAGCTGAAAGGTGGAAACATAAGGGATATATCTATTAAAACTAATGGGATTTAGAGGTCACTTACATCTTTGCCATCAATGCCATCCTTATTGCCGATTTTCATTTGTTCCTTTATAAATCCAACCATAGTTTGGCAAACTTTATTTGTAACCGGGAAAACAGTTTTTATCTGAAATATTCAAAAATGGTTTCAAAAATGTTCACAATTAAAAAATTTATTTTATTTGAGTAATATCATACCCTGTTTGAGGTAAATCCTGGAGTAATTTCAGCTCTTCGCTCCTTCCATTCTTCGCCAGTCAAAACAAATGGGTTGTTGCCCAGAATAAAGTCCGTATTTTTATCGGCCTAAAAACCAAATGGATATAATATAGGAATATATTTTCAAGGGTCAGAGGCGTGGATTTTTAAAAGAAACAAATTTCAAGCCTCAACACAAGCGTAGATTTTTAAAAGAAGATTTTTCAGGGCTCAACACAGGCGTGGATTTTTAAAAGACGATTTTTTCAGGGCTCAACACAGGTGTGCCTTTTTCAAAGAAGATTTTTTCAAGCCTCAACACAGGCTTGGATTTTTAAAAGAATATTTTTTCATGGACCAACACATGCGTGGATTTTTTAAAGAAGATTTTTTTCAAGGCTCAACAGAGACGTAGATTTGCGAAAGAAAATTTTTTTAGGGCTCAACACAGGCGTGGATTTTTAAAAGAAGAATTTTTCAAGGCTCAACACAGGCGTGGATTTTTAAACGAAGATTTTTTTCAAGGCTCAACACAGGCGTGGATTTTTAAAAGAAGATTTTTTCAAGGCTCAACACAGGCGTGGATTTTTAAAAGAAGATTTTTTCAAGGCTCAACACAGGCGTGGATTTTTAAAAGAAGATTTTTTCAAGGCTCAACACAGGCGTGGATATTTAAAATAATATTTTTTCAAGGCTCAACACAGGCGTGGATATTTGAAATAATATTTTTTCAAGGCTCCACACAGGCGTGGATATTTAAAATAATATTTTTTCGAGGCTCAACACAGGCGTGGATATTTAAAATAATATTTTTTCAAGGCTCCACACAGGCGTGGATATTTAAAATAATATTTTTTCGAGGCTCAACACAGGCGTGGATATTTAAAATAATATTTTCTCAAGCCTCAACACAGGCGTGGATCAACACAGGCGTGGATATTTAAAATAATATTTTTTCAAGGCTCAACACAGGCGTGGATAAACACATGCGTGGATATTTAAAAGAAGATTTTTTCAATACCACCACAAATTTTTTCAAGGCTCAACACAGGCGTGAATTTTTAAAAGAAGTTTTTTTTTCAAGGCTCAACACAGGCGTGGATTTTTAAAAGAAGATTTTTTCTAGCCTCAACACAGGCGTGGATTTTTAAAAGAAGATTTTTTCAAACCTCAACTCAGGCGTGGATTTTTAAAAGAAGATTTTTTTAAGCCTCAACACAGCCGTGCATTTTTAAAGGAAGATTTTTTCAAGCCTCAACACAGCCCTGAATTTGTAAAGGAAGATTTTTTCAAGCCTCAACACAGCCGTGAATTTGTAAACGAAGATTTTTTCAATGCACAACAAAAGGCGTGGATTTGTATAAGAAGATTTTTTTCGGGGCTCAAAGTAGGTGTGGACTTTTAAAAGAAGATTTTTTTCGGGGCTCAAAGTAGGTGTGGACTTTTAAAAGAAGATTTTTTAGGGCTCAACACAGGCGTGGATTTCTTATGGAATATTTTCTTCTAATGTCATTAGAGGGTGGAGTCATTCAATAAAATCTTTCTAATGTCAAGGAGTTGTTCAATAATATTTATACCCTACACAACTATGTTGTAGCTTTGTGCAGCCCCAAGAGTTTGTAACGCCGCGAAATGTTGTTCCTAGACCCACCTTTATGTATACCGATCGTCATATCTCGACTAGCTGAGTCTATCAACACATGTGTGTCCGTCTGTCCATCTGTCCATTATAATTTGTAAACACGATACAGGCCACAGTTATGGACATATCTTCACCAAATTTTCTGGTCGCTCCAGAGGCCGTAATTATGGCCCAAACTTACATGGAGAAGGGAATCGGGCCAAAGAATAAACATGCCCCTTTTGATAAGGATCGGTCAATATTTAGCGGGTCAAATGGACCCTAACATTTGTGTGAAAAATTACAAAATTTGTATTCTATATCGTATATATTTACTCCTGCAGGACTTTTGGGATGAAGTGGACCGTAAACTTTTTTTTTATTTTGAGTCGATCTATAGGCTACAATAATAAGCCGAACATCACAACACAACCCACGGTGAAGGGAATATGGGCAAGTAATTAGAAGGGCTGTACTGAATATTGGTAATATTCGGAAAATATGTCACTGTAATTAAGAGGTGCTGTTGACCTCTAATCGGACAAGCGGGTGCAACTATCACGAAATATTACCCGGCCTCGGAATAAAAATCCGCAGAAAAATAGTGTAGGTTATCATATGGTCGGCCGCGTCCGACAATACTGCTCCGCTCACTGGTTTTCTTATGTCAAGGAGTCGTTCAATTATATTTTTCTAATGTCATGGAGACGTTCAAGAATATTTTCCAGGTTCTATTAGAGCGTGGAGTCCTTTAATAATATTTTTCATTACGGCGTGGTATTTTTAATGAAGATAATTTTCAAGATTCATTAGAGTTTAAAATTGTTTACTTACCATTGTTGAGGCATCATTGTCGTGAAAATTTTTAAAATCCGTTACCAAAACTCGGCGTATCAGTTTTGGATTTAGTACCAACAATTGCGGAGTTCGGCAATTATAAATTCCCACAAAATCATCGGTTTTTTTGTATGCTCTAAAAGGGATAATTTTTCATTAGCACTTCCTCAATAATTCGTCGCTGCAAGGCCAGGCAAAAAAAAATAAATAAAACCTACTCATAAACATCAAGAATATCACAGGCAATATTACGTTTCTGTGTAAAACCACTGGGATAATTTCCGACAAAGGGGCGTGGCTTTGGACCATTGACACCGCGTTGTTTCCAATAGTTAAATGGCCAAACCAAAAATAAGTACAACAGTAATAAAATTGCACAACACAGGGTCAATAGGAAACCTAACATCGTTTTATCGGGTTACTTTTATTTTATTTTTATTTTTTATCACTTTTTTGTGTTGTTTATATTTCTATTTTATTTTCTAACTGCGCCACCCTAACGCTTTGACGATCCACTAACGAATGAAAAGTTTCACCCTGAAATTGATCTAACTAGAAGTAATTTTTTCATATTAACCTGTAGAATAAAAAACAATTGAATCAAATAATAATAAAAAAATTGTCTCTACAGACATTTACCGACAGATCTCCATCACCCGCCGCAGAAGCGGGACAAGCACAGAATAATAAATATATGCTGGACAGTGATTTAAGGGCAGTAGGCGATTGATTAGATAAATGAAATGAAAAAAAAAAAACACACACACACAAATCTGATATGAATGTAAACAATCATTTACAGTGGATCCAATTTGGATTCAATTACACCATGTCACAAAATGTTAGATAACTTAGAATTTTGGAATTTTGAATTATGGAAGAGCAGTCACATTAATGTTGCACGGTTTAACTTTAGATAGAATTTTAGAATTTTGAATTATGGAAGAGCAGTCACTACGGATCCCCTGTGCAACATTAATATTGCACAGTTTAACTTTAAATTGATGAAATTATGTCTGCAACATTTCGGTTATATAAAAAAATAAAAATAATTTAATAATGTAACAATGGTTTTTTGTTTGAGAAATGCCAAAAATAGAATCAAGATTCTATGTATGTAAATCGACTTTGCTTTTATAAATAAATATTCAGTACAATTATATACGAGGGTAAATTACAAATTCGTTGACCCTTTCAATATCCCGTTGTTGTTGCCTTGAAATTTTTTTTTTAACCCACACACGTACTAAGCCTTGAAGAAATATTCTTTTCAAAAAATTAACGTCATAAACAAATGTTCTTTTCAAAATAATGGCCTGCGCTATGCAAAAAAAAAAATATTTTTTAAAAGTTTACCCTGCGCTATGCCATAAAAACTATACATTTAAAAATCCATGCCTTTGTTGGTCCATGAAAAAATATACTTTTGAAAATCCACGCCTGTGTTGACCCTTGAAAAAAATTCTTCTTTTAAAAATCCACTCATCTGTTAGCCCATAAAAAATATTCTTTTAAAAATTAACGCCTGAGCGGGTCCATAAAACATATTCTTTTAGAAATCCATGCCTGTATTGGTCCATAAAAATATTCTTTTAGATATCCATGTCTGTGTTGGTCCATAATAAATATTCTTTCAGAAATCCACACCCGTGGTGGCCATTAAAAAATATTCTTCTAAAAATCCACGCCTGCTTTGAGGTTTAGAAAACTTCTTTTAAAAATCAAAGTCCTGTGTTAAGCCTTAAAAAATCTTCTTCTAAAAATCCACGCTTTGAGGTTTAGAAAACTTATTTTAAAAATCAAAGTCCTGTGTTAAGCCTTGAACGCTTTTGTTGAGCCTTGAAAAATCTACTTTTAAAAAAAATCCACGCCTGTGTTGAATTTAAAACAAGTGAAAAAAACTTAAGTTCGGCCGGGCCGAACTTTGGATACCCTCCACCATAGATATACTGACAGGTACTAGAAATAAAAGTATATAGAAAAAAACATACCAAAAAGTGGACCTATACCGACATTCCTAAAAAGGGATTATGTAAACCATAATAAAAAATTCAGTAATTTTAATGGATAATTATACACTGTGGCCAATCGAAATATTGGTTCTAGACCCCACGTTTCTTTGGACCAAATACGTTTCAAAAAATTTAGATTTCATCCAAACTTTGTCCATCTTATTATTTCTTCCAATCTTAGTTCAAATTCGAAGATGGGGAATATCGGTCCACTTCTTCTGGAACCTCCATACAGGGACTAGGTCTAAATGCGGGTTATAGTTCATTATCGTACCTTACGTTCACCTCCGCAGGTGAAATGATTACATCAGAGTCTTAGAACCAAACTCAAAACGCGGAACAAATCAGATAACCATTTTAATATAAAAAGGGGGTTATATGGGGACTACCCCAAAATGAGGGCGAATATTAATAATTTTTTGGTAGGGAGATTTGGTACCATATACGGCTACAAAATATCAATTTGCAGCAAATTCGGTTGAAAAACGCGCTCAGAAAACGTGGGCCTTGAACATTTTGTGGAGACATTTAGTACCCAATAAGAATCTAATACAGTAAATTTCAGCGAATTCGGTTGAAAAACGCGCTCAAGAACCCAAAAATACGGAAAATTGGGGGAGCTATGCCTAAACGTGGTCCGATAAAGCCCATCATCGAACTTGACCTGCCTGCAGAAAAAAGACAATCCTATGCAAAAGTTCAGCACTCTATCTCAATTCCTTCAGAAGATAGCGTGATTACAACAGACGGACGGACGGACAGACTGACGGACGGACATGGCTAGACCGTCTTAGAATTTTACCCTGATCAGGAATATGTATACTTTATAGGGTCGAAAATGAATATTTCGATGAGTTACAAACGGAATGACAAAATTAATATACCCTCCATACTATGGTGGAAAAAAATCTTTGAAAAATCTTCTTTTAGAAATCCACGCCTGTGTTGAGCCTTGAAGAAAATTTCATTTAAAAATCCACGCTTTGAAAAATCTTCTTTTAGAAATCCACGCCTGTGTTGAGCCTTGAAGAAAATTTCATTTAAAAATCCACGCTTTGAAAAATCTTCTTTTAGAAATCCACGCCTGTGTTGAGCCTTGAAAATTTTTTCATTTAAAAATCCACGCCTGTGTTGAGCCTTGAAAATTTTTTCATTTAAAAATCCACGCCTGTGTTGAGCCTTGAAAATTTTTTCATTTAAAAATCCACGCCTGTGTTGAGCCTTGAAAATTTTTTCATTTAAAAATCCACGCCTGTGTTGAGCCTTGAAAATTGTTTCATTTAAAAATCCACGCCTGTGTTGAGCCTTGAAAATTGTTTCATTTAAAAATCCACGCCTGTGTTGAGCCTTGAAAATTTTTTCATTTAAAAATCCACGCCTGTGTTGAGCCTTAAAAATTTTTTCATTTAAAAATCCACGCCTGTGTTGAGCCTTGAAAATTTTTTCATTTAAAAATCCACGCCTGTGTTGAGCCTTGAAAATTTTTTCATTTAAAAATCCACGCCTGTGTTGAGCCTTGAAAATTTTTTCATTTAAAAATCCACGCCTGTGTTGAGCCTTGAAAATTTTTTCATTTAAAAATCCACGCCTGTGTTGAGCCTTGAAATTTTTTTCATTTAAAAATCCACGCCTGTGTTGAGTCTTGAAAATTTTTTAATTTAAAAATCCACGCCTGTGTTGAGCCTTGAAAATTTTTTCATTTAAAAATCCACGCCTGTGTTGAGCCTTGAAATTTTTTTCATTTAAAAATCCACGCCTGTGTTGAGCCTTGAAAATTTTTTCATTTAAAAATCCACGCCTGTGTTGAGCCTTGAAAATTTTTTCATTTAAAAATCCACGCTTTGAAAAATCTTCTTTTAGAAATCCACGCCTGTTGTACGCCTTGAAAAAATCTTGAGCCTTCAAAAAATCTTCTTTTAGAAATCCACGCCTGTTCTACGCCTTGAAAAAATCCTGAGCCTTCAAAAAATCTTCTTTTAGAAATCCACGCCTGTTCTACGCCTTGAAAAAATCTTGAGTCTTCAAAAAATCTTCTTTTAAAAATCCACGCCTGTACTACGCATTGAAAAATCTTGAGTCCTTCAAAAAATCTTCTTTTAAAAATCCACGCCTACAACTCTGATGTTCCTTCAAAAAATCTTCTTTTAAAAATCCACGCCTATAGCTCTGATGGTCCTTCAAAAAATCTTCTTTTAAAAATCCACGCCTATAGCTCTGATGGTCCTTCAAAAAATCTTCTTTTAAAAATCCACGCCTATAGCTCTGATGGTCCTTCAAAAAATCTTCTTTTAAAAATCCACGCCTGTACTACGCCTTGAAAAATCTTGAGCCTTGAAAAATCTTGAGCCTTGAAAAATCTTGAGCCTTGAAAAAACTTCTTTTAAAAATCCAAGCCTGTTCTACGCCTTGAAAAAATCTTGTGCCTTCAAAAAAACTTCGTTTAAAAATCCACGCCTGTTCTACGCCTTGAAAAAATCTTGAGCCTTCAAAAAAACTTCGTTTAAAAATCCACGCCTGTTCTACGCCTTGAAAAAATCTTGAGCCTTCAAAAAATCTTCTTATAAAAATCCACGCCTGTTCTACGCCTTGAAAAAATCTTGAGCCTTCAAAAAATCTTCTTTTAAAAATCCACGCCTGTTCTACGCCTTGAAAAAATCTTGAACCTTCAAAATACCTTCCTTTAAAAAGCCACGCCTTTGTTAAGCCTTGAAAAAATCTTGTTTGAAAATACCACGCCTTTCATCTTTAAAAATGCCACGCCTGCGTTCAGCCTTGAAAAAATTCATTTCAAAATTTCGTCTTTAAAAATCAACCCCTTTTGTGACCCTTGAAAACATCTTCTTTGAACACCAACGCCTGTTTTGATCCTTGAAACAATTTTATTTTAAAAATCTACGCCTGTAGTGACCCTTGAAAAAATATTTTTTTATTATGACATATGCCTGTTTGCGTGCATTCCACATTTCGACTTAATTCAATTTAGATCTCACTGATGTTATTTGTAAATTAACCCATTTGCAACATATATGCGGGTTTAAAAATTGAATGTGAGCTCAGATTCAGTGTTCAGGCATTAAAAAAAAAAACTTAGAATACGCACCCTTATTCAAAATAGAAAATAATGATTTAGTACAATTTATAAATATTCATTCATTATAGGACAGACCTACGCAATAACACTTTCACCAAAAAAACATAAAAACATCACAACGAACCCAGTTATATTTGTTGCACGTTGCAGCAAACACCGGTTGTGTCGCATCTACATATTTCAGTTCCGTGTCATTTTCTTTTTTTTTCAAAAACTAAAAATCGCGCGAGAGAAATCATGATAACAATAATTCTCTGGCTGATGTGTTTCAATTTCATTCTGTTGTATATTTTTCTGGTTTGGAATTTTGACTATTGGAAAAAACGCGGTGTCACTGGCCCCAAACCAAGACCATTTTTGGGCAATTTTCCAAGTGTGTTTACCCAAAAAAGTCACATTTCGTGTGACATACGAGAAATTTATGAGTGAGTGTAATTGTGTGTTTGTATGTGAGTTCTTAATTGGCTTCTATGATTGCATCTTCTTCTGTTTCTTGGAAAACCTAGAGCCTACAAGACAACCGATAACTATGTGGGGATTTTCAACTGCAGAACACCATTGCTGATGATAACAAATGCCGATTTAATAAAACAAATATTGGTTAAAGATTTTCAAAAATTCCGAGATAACGAAATTTCGACAATGGTAAGTGCGACACAAAAAATTGTCAATATGGGGCAGCACTCAATACACCTAATACTAGGCGTGGATTTTTTAAAGAATATTTATACCCTTCACCACACTGTGTTACAGGGTATTATGTCTTTGTGCATATGTTTGTAACAGGCAAAAATAATCGAGATAGACCCATGGTTCCTTTTGAGAATATGCATAGAATCACTTTCTAAGTCGATTTATGCATGTCCGTCCGTCCGTCGGTCCATGTTAAATTGTAAACAAAGTACAGGTCGCATTTATGATCCGAATTGGATGAAATTTGACACAGCTCATTTGTTTGGCCCAAGGACGAACCCTATTGAAATTGGGAAAAATCGTTTCAGATTTAGATATAGTTCCCATATATATGTTCGTCCGATTTATGGTAATTGGTGCACCCAAGTCCCTATATATCTTTCGATTTGCACGAAATTTGGCACAACGTACTAAATTAAGTCTAGAATGAAATGTGCAAAGTTTCGTGAAAATCGGTTCAGATTTAGATATAGCTCCCATATATAGCTTCGCCCGATTTTAGGTAAATAGTCCACCAAAATCCCTGGACATCTTTTGATCTGCCCGATTTTGGCATAGTGTACTGAATTAAGTCTAGAATGATGTGTGAAAAGTTTTGGAAAAATCGATTCAGATTTGGATATAGCTCCCATATATAGCATCGCCCGATTTTATGTAAATATTCCACTAAAGTCCTTGGAAATCGTTTGACTTGCACGACATTTGGCACAGCGTAATAAATAAGGTCTAGAATGATGTTTGCCAAGTTTCGTGAAAATCGGTTCAGATTTAGATATAGCTCCTATATATTTCTTCGTCCGATTTAAGGTTAATTGTATACCAAAGTCCCTATATATCATTCGATTTGCACGAAATTTGACACTGCGTACTAAATTAAGTATAGAATGATGTGTGCAAAGTTTCGTGAAAATCGGTTCAGATTTAGATATAGCTCCCATATAAAGCTTCGCCCGATTTTAGGTAAATAGTCCACTAAAGTACCTGGAAATCTTTTGATGTGCACGAAATTTGACACAGAGTTATGAATAAGATCGAGAATGATGTCTGCTAAGTTTCGTGAAAATCGGTTCAGATTTAGATATAGCTCCCATATGTATTTTCATCCGATTTAAGGTAATTGGTGCACCAAAGACCCTATATATCTTTCCATTTGCACGAATTTTGGTATTAAATCAAGAATTAAGTCAAGAATGACTTTGCTAAGCTTCGTGGAAAGATCCATAGCTAGGCCGATTGATACATCGTACTGATGTTATATAAATTAGTCTCTGGCAAGTTTACCCGAAATCGGTTTAGATATAGATTTATAACAAAACGCGTTGTGTGTTACGATACATATGTAAAATATACCCAAAGTTGTGAAGGGTATCATATAGTCCGACTTTACTACTTTCCTTACTGGTTTTTCCATCGATCTATACAATGAGTGGATTATTTATAGAATAGTTTTTCATCGATCTATACAAAGCGTGGATTTTCTATACAATATTTTTTCATCGATCTATACAAGGCGTGGATTTTTTAAAGAATATTTTTTCCATCGATCTATACAAGGCGTGGATTTTTTAAAGAATATTTTTCCATCGATCTATACAAGGCGTGGATTTTTTAAAGAATATTTTTTCCATCGATCTATACAAGGCGTGGATTTTTTAAAGAATATTTTTTCCATCGATCTATACAAGGCGTGGATTTTTTAAAGAATATTTTTTCCATCGATCTATACAAGGCGTGGATTTTTTAAAGAATATTTTTTCCATCGATCTATACAAGGCGTGGATTTTTTAAAGAATATTTTTTCCATCGATCTATACAAGGCGTGGATTTTTTAAAGAATATTTTTTCCATCGATCTATACAAGGCGTGGATTTTTTAAAGAATATTTTTTCCATCGATCTATACAAGGCGTGGATTTTTTAAAGAATATTTTTTCCATCGATCTATACAAGGCGTGGATTTTTTAAAGAATATTTTTTCCATCGATCTATACAAGGCGTGGATTTTTTAAAGAATATTTTTTCCATCGATCTATACAAGGCGTGGATTTTTTAAAGAATATTTTTTCCATCGATCTATACAAGGCGTGGATTTTTTAAAGAATATTTTTTCCATCGATCTATACAAGGCGTTTTTTAAAGTTTTTTAAAGAATATTTTTTCCATCGATCTATACAAGGCGTGGATTTTTTAAAGAATATTTTTTCCATCGATCTATACAAGGCGTGGATTTTTTAAAGAATATTTTTTCCATCGATCTATACAAGGCGTGGATTTTTTAAAGAATATTTTTTCCATCGAATATTTTTTCCATCGATCTATACAAGGCGTGGATTTTTTAAAGAATATTTTTTTTAAAGAATATTTTTTCCATCGATCTATACAAGGCGTGGATTTTTTAAAGAATATTTTTTCCATCGATCTATACAAGGCGTGGATTTTTTAAAGAATATTTTTTCCATCGATCTATACAAGGCGTGGATTTTTTAAAGAATATTTTTTCCATCGATCTATACAAGGCGTGGATTTTTTAAAGAATATTTTTTCCATCGATCTATACAAGGCGTGGATTTTTTAAAGATCTATACAAGGCGTGGATTTGTTTAAAGAATTTTTTTTCCATCGATGGATTTTTTAAAGAATATTTTTTCTATATACAAGGCGTGGATTTTTTAAAGAATATTTTTTCCATCGATCTATACAAGGCGTGGATTTTTTAAAGAATGGATTTTTTATCAATTCTTAATTTCAGGTTGATGAAAAATCCGATTTTACCATGGCCAATAATCCTACAGCTATGAAAGGAGATGAATGGGTTGAACGAAGAGCTGAACTTCTTCCTGGTTTAGCAATGACAAGAGTGAGTGAGATAAATTACTTCTTCATAAAGCATTTAAAAAATAAAACTAATAATAATACCTCCATGCAGTTAAAATCTGGTTTCTCAGTGACATCAAAAATTTGCAAAAAGTTAATAAATCACATTGAAAGAGAAAGCAAATCGAAGGGATGCCCAGTCACATTTGACATTAACGAAGTAAGTTTGAAACACCACAAAATCATTTTAATAACATTTACTAATAAAATCTTTATTTCTTATAGCTCTCATTACGTTTGGCATGCGAAATAGTTAGCGACAGTGTATTGGGCCACAAAGCCGAAACATTTTCCTGCCGAAAACCTTTGGCGATTTTTCATCAAGTCAAAGCCTATTCCGAACAATCATTTATACACATTATCTATATGGTACTTACGGGACTACTGCCTTCCCTCAAGAAATACAAAAAATTGCGTTTTGTACGACAGTCGATAGAGAAGTATTTTGTACGGCTTATTCGCGATGCATTTCGAAAGAGACAACAACATGGAGAGCAAAGAACTCGTTCCGATTTCATAAACTATTTACTACAGTTACACGAAAGGAAACGTTTGAAGATGGATGAATTGACGGGGCATGCTTTGAGTGTCCTCTTGGACGGATATGTGACCATAGCCCAAGCGGTGGCACATTGTTTGCTATTGGTTCGTGGAAGAAATTTTTCTAAATTTTTTCGATTTAAAATTTAATTTTCTCTCTTTTTTTTGCAATTTATCAGTTAGCTCGTGATCCAGTACGCCAAAGAATGTCCACGCCTGCCTTGTGTTGGTCCCTGAAAAATATTATTTTAAAAAACCACGCCTGCATTGTGTTGGTCCCCGAAAAAAGCTTTTAAAAATCCACGCCTGCCTTGTGTTAGTCCCTGAAAAAATATTCTTTTAAAAATCCACGCCTGCCTTGTGTTAGTCCCTGAAAAAATATTCTTTTAAAAATCCACGCCTGCCTTGTGTTAGTCCCTGAAAAAATATTCTTTTAAAAATCCACGCCTGCCTTGTGTTAGTCCCTGAAAAAATATTCTTTTAAAAATCCACGCCTGCCTTGTGTTAGTCCCTGAAAAAATATTCTTTTAAAAATCCACGCCTGCCTTGTGTTAGTCCCTGAAAAAATATTCTTTTAAAAATCCACGCCTGCCTTGTGTTAGTCCCTGAAAAAATATTCTTTTAAAAATCCACGCCTGCCTTGTGTCAGTCCCTGAAAAAATATTCTTTTAAAAATCCACGCCTGCCTTGTGTTGGTCCCTGAAAAATATTCTTTTAAAAATCCACGCCTGCCTTGTGTTGGTCCCTGAAAAATATTCTTTTAAAAATCCACGCCTGCCTTGTGTTGGTCCCTGAAAAATATTCTTTTAAAAATCCACGCCTGCCTTGTGTTGGTCCCTGGAAAATATTCTTTTAAAAATCCACGCCTGCCTTGTGTCCCTGAAAAAAATATTCTTTTAAAAATCCACGCCTGTCTTGGTCCCTGAAAAAATATTCGTTTAAAAATCCACGCCTGTCTTGGTCCCTGAAAAAATATTCGTTTAAAAATCCACGCCTGCCTTGTGTTAGTCCCTGAAAAAATATTCGTTTAAAAATCCACGCCTGCCTTGTGTTAGTCCCTGAAAAAATATTCTTTTAAAAATCCACGCCTGCCTTGTGTTGGTCCCCTGAAAAAATATTCTTTTAAAAATCCACGCCTGAGAAAAAGTCATTAAAAAAATGAAAAAAAAGTCATTAAAAATATTCTTTTAAAAATCCACGCCTGCCTTGTGTTGGTCCCTGAAAAATATTCTTTTAAAAATCCACGCCTGCCTTGTGTTGGTCCCTGAAAAAATATTATTTTAAAAATCCACGCCTGCCTTGTGTTGGTCCCTGAAAAAATATTATTTTAAAAATCCACGCCTGCCTTGTGTTGGTCCCTGAAAAAATATTCTTTTAAAAATCCACGCCTGCCTTGTGTTGGTCCCTGAAAAATATTCTTTTAAAAAAATCACGCCTATAATAGCCCCTGAAAAATATTTCCTTAAAAATCCACGCCTTGTGTTGGTCCCTGAAAAAATATTCTTTTAAAAATCCACGCCTGCCTTGTGTTGGTCCCTGAAAAATATTCTTTTAAAAATCCACGCCTGCCTTGTGTTGGTCCCTGAAAAATATTCTTTTAAAAATCCACGCCTGCCTTGTGTTGGTCCCTTAAAAAATATTCTTTTAAAAATCCACGCCTGTATTGGCCCCTGAAAAAATATTCTTTTAAAAATCCACGCCTGTATGTTGGTCCCTGAAAAAATGTTCTTTTAAAAATCCACGCCTGCCTTGTGTTGGTCCCTGAAAAAATGTTCTTTTAAAAATCCACGCCTGCCTTGTGTTGGTCCCTGAAAAAATGTTCTTTTAAAAATCCACGCCTGCCTTGTGTTGGTCCCTGAAAAAATGTTCTTTTAAAAATCCACGCCTGCCTTGTGTTGGTCCCTGAAAAAATATTCTTTAAAAAATCCACGCCTTGTGTTGGTTCTTGACAAAAATATTTTTTTTTTTTTGTTAAATCCACGCCTTGTGTTGGTCCTTGAAAAAATATTCTTTTTGGTCCCTGAAAAATCCACGCCTGCCTTGTGTTGGTCCCTGAAAAATATTCTTTTAAAAATCCAGCCTGCCTTGTGTTGGTCCCTGAAAAAATATTCTTTTAAAAATCCACGCCTGCCTTGTGTTGGTCCCTTAAAAATATTCTTTTAAAAATCCACGCCTGCCTTGTGTTGGTCCCTGAAAAATATTCTTTTAAAAATCCACGCCTGCCTTGTGTTGGTCCCTGAAAAATATTCTTTTAAAAATCCACGCCTGCCTTGTGTTGGTCCCTGAAAAATATTCTTTTAAAAATCCACGCCTGCCTTGTGTTGGTCCCTGAAAAATATTCTTTTAAAAATCCACGCCTGCCTTGTGTTGGTCCCTGAAAAATATTCTTTTAAAAATCCACGCCTGCCTTGTGTTGGTCCCCTGAAAAAATATTCTTTTAAAAATCCACGCCTGCCTTGTGTTGGTCCCTGAAAAAAATTTTTTAAAAATCCACGCCTGCCTTGTGTTGGTCGCTGAAAAAATATTATTTTAAAAATCCACGCCTGCCTTGTGTTGGTCGCTGAAAAAATATTATTTTAAAAATCCACGCCTGCCTTGTGTTGGTCCCTGAAAAAATATTCTTTTAAAAATCCACGCCTGTGTTGGTTGGTCACGCCCACGCCTGCCTTGTGTTCTTTTAAAAATCCCCTGAAAAAATATAATAAGTGTTAAAAATAGCAAAAATCCACGCCTGCCTTGTGTTGGTCGCTGAAAAAATATTCTTTTAAAAATCCACGCCTGCCTTGTGTTGGTCCCTGAAAAAATATTCTTTTAAAAAATCCACGCCTGCCTTGTGAAAAAAAACAGTACAGTTATTTTATTTTGGAGTGTGAGATTAAGAAAAAATATTTTTAAAAAATCCATGTCAATGATGTTTGAATTTTTTTTAATCCACGAAAGCCGATACTTAATACAACCCGCTTCGTTTGTTAGATTGTATTCAAATGACATACAACAACGAATTACCTCCTCACTGGGGTTATTGTCATAGCTCACCCTCACGCATATAAGAATAGTATTTCTATTGTAATCGCGATAAATATCTGTCTATCTATTATTCAGGACAATTAAAATTATGTTACAACAATAACACCAAAATGCTTTTACGTTCGAAACATTTACGGCAATTAGCAAAGAAATCAAAATGAATAGAAAATTCGAATTTAGTTTTCCCTTTGATTTAGTTAGAAAACAAACCTTTCGCGGATAGAGCGGAAATTTTTAACACAAAAAATAAATTATTTTAATTTAAATCAAATAATAAAAAAATGGGCTCAAAGAAAAGTGTACGATTAAAGCAAATATTCGACACTGCGGTTATATTTCGTCGCAGTCTTATATATCAAACCAAAGAATTTTTTCAAAATTCAACATTGCATGGGGTGCGCTATATTGCGGAGACGGGCAGGCCAGTGGGTGAGAAGTAAGTACGAATATTTTTCGGGGACCAATACAGGGGTGGATTTTTAAAAGAATATTTTTTCAGGGACCAATACAGGCGTAAATTTTTAAAAGAATATTTTTTTAGGGACCAATACAGGTGTGGATTTTTAAAAAAATATTTTTTCAGAGACCAATACAGGCGTGGATTTTTAAAAGAATATTTTTTAAGGGACCAACACAAGGCAGGCGTGGATTTTTAAAAAAAATTTTTTCAGGGACCAACACATGGCAGGCGTGGATTTTTAAAAGGCGTGGATTTTTAAAAGAACATTTTTTCAGGGACCAACACAAGGCAAGCGTGAATATTTTTTCAGGGGACCAACACAAGGCAGGCGTGGATTTTTAAAATAATATTTTTTCAGGGGACCAACACAAGGCAGGCGTGGATTTTTAAAAGAATATTTTTTCAGGGGGCGTGGATTTTTAAAAGAATATTTTTTCAGGGACCAACACGCAGGCGTGGATTTTTAAAAGAATATTTTTTCAGGGACCAACACAAGGCAGGCGTGGATTTTTAAAAGATTTGTTTGAGGGACCCAGAAAGCCTCAGGCGTGGATTTTTAAAAGAATATTTTTCAGGGACCAACACAAGGCAGGCGTGGATTTTTAAAAGAATATTTTTCAGGGACCAACACAAGGCAGGCGTGGATTTTTAAAAGAATATTTTTCAGGGACCAACACAAGGCAGGCGTGGATTTTTAAAAGAATATTTTTGAGGGACCAACACAAGGCAGGCGTGGATTTTTAAAAGAATATTTTTCAGGGACCAACACAAGGCAGGCGTGGATTTTTAAAAGAATATTTTTCAGGGACCAACACAAGGCAGGCGTGGATTTTTAAAAGAATATTTTTCAGGGACCAACACAAGGCAGGCGTGGATTTTTAAAAGAATATTTTTTCAGGGGACCAACACAAGGCAGGCGTGGATTTTTAAAAGAATATTTTTTCAGGGGACCAACACAAGGCAGGCGTGGATTTTTAAAAGAATATTTTTCAGGGACCAACACAAGGCAGGCGTGGATTTTTAAAAGAATATTTTTAATGACTTTTTTTCATGAATTTCCAGATTCATGTGGTTTTGTTTCACATCAATTGGTGCTGTGACGGCTTTGGTTATTATTATGAGCCTATGGGAGAAATTTCAAACTAATCCCACAATAACAGGTTGGAACTATTTTGAATATACCACATTCGAAATTGAATATGTTATTTTTCCTATTCCAATATAGGTTTGGACACCGATTTCCACAATCAAAATGTTGTATTTCCCACAACAGTGGTGTGTCCGGAAATTGCCTTCGACCATGATAGAGCCTTTGAGGTGGCATTACATGATTTGGCGTATGTACCAAACCTGTTTCAATTCTCGACAGATAAATACACTTTTAAAATTATTTCTTTAAGGAACGATGATTATTCCTTGGCGGGCTATATTGTACCATTTCTGGAGTTATTACCCTCACTATCCTATGAGACCCTCAATGAGGCGGCTGTTATTGCAAGTTCCGTTGAAATGGAAGCGGTACATCAGAAAACATTGCGCAAGTGGGCGTTTGAGGTAATTTTTAAAATTTTTAATTTTTTTTATTTTCAATACAATTTTTATTTATTTGTAGTCTGTCATCAGTTGTAAAGATGTTCTTACAGAATGCAAATATCGCGATGAACCCATTAACTGCTGTGAAGCCTTTCAACCGGTCTACACCGAACATGGTTATTGTTTTGCCTTCAACAGTCGTTTCAAATCGACCGATGAAGCTGAGTAAGTAACAAGGTTAATTTTTGAAGAGAAATTCCGAAATGAAATACTATTTTGCAATTTTTTCAAAGCATAAATTCCGGAGCACCACATGATCTCTATGAAACCGATAAAAAGTGGGCTTTGTTTTTTGTCCCGAATAGCACGGTTAAGGTGAGAGGGGAAAATTGGAATGATGTTTTGGATTTGTTTTTCATTTGTATTGTCTTTTTATTTGCAGATCTATATTTTTTCCAATGAAGAATATTTTGGTCAGGATTTCAATCCTCAAATTGAATGGGCCGAAAATGAAGTTGTCGAGGTGCGCATCTCGAAAAAGAATACCTATACCACAGATGATGCCCGACAATTGTCGATTGGGTAAGATGAAGGCAGTCAGTCAGTCGATTTTGGTTTTCTGCAGAAAAAAATTCTCAGTATCAAACCTCTGGTAACTGATGGTGCTTCAAAGACCCTACGATTGTCCTATTGGCACGAAATAAGTTTTAATTTTTTATTTTTCAAATCGGTTCAGATTTATGATGAAATTGGTACACCACAGTTTATCCGATTGGGACGAAATTCTTTACATGGTACAAAATTATGCTTAGAGTAATATTTATGAGTTTTGTTGAAATCGGTTCAGATTTCGATATAGCTCCCATATTTCATGTCTATTGAATACCAAATACCCAAAGCTTGTCTGATTGGGACGAAATTTTGTACATCTTTTCAAAATGAGCTTAGAATGATGTGAATTGAGTTTTGTTGAAAATGGCTCAGATTCAGATATAGATCCCATATATTGTTCTGACCGATTTTATGTAAATGGTGCACCAAATACCCAAAGCTTGTCCGATTGGGACGAAATGTTGTATATCATACCAAATGAGGCTTGGGATGATATCTATTCAGTTTTGTTGAAATCGGCTTAGATTTAGATATAGCTCCTGTATATATTTTCAAAAAGTTTAGAAGCCCTGAGAAAGATAGTGGCAAGCATTGGAGGCATAATTCCCAGCAACATAAAGGAGGGAGCCGGTGTGAATATCACAGACTCCCAAGAAACCCGGTTACTGGAGGACAACTGATTGAAGTCATCCAGATTAACCTCCATCGGAGCGAGACGGCAACCCTGGCCCTAATGGAAAAAATATAAAAGATAAAATACACATTGGACTGATCAAGGCACCTTGGACAATTAAAAACAAGGTCTCTGGATTAAGCCATATAAATTACCAACTCTTCTATGCAAATACGGGGTCTTGCCCAAGAACCTGTATAATATGTCATAAAAAATTGATGCTTCCCTTCTCCCCAGAGTTGTCAACATCGGACGCCACTGTACTGAAACAGGGGAGTGGTAACATTTACAGGAGTGGAGAGTCTCAAAAGAGTACTCCTTTTCTGACCACAAATATATTATGTTCAAAATCCTACGGCCAGCGCCGAAACCCATACACTTCCGTAACAAGTTCAAAACTAACTGGATAAAGTTCGGGAGACTAGTAAAGGAGGGTTTAGGGCAACCAAACTATGAATGCCTAGACACGAATGACATATACAGGAACATCAACAAATTAACGGAAGTAATTGTAAAGTCTTTCGAAGAAAGTTGTCCTCTTCG